GGAGCAAAACATTTTCTGAGTAAGTATGACTATATATCTTCATATTCTTATTTAACACCAATCATTCATAAATTGTGTTCATGAAAATAAATAACAAAATATTGTATTAGTGTGTTTTATCCTTTAAAGTACTGTGTGTTCAAAATTTGTCACTCATTGTTTGTCATGTTTGTGCTTATAACGAATTAAGTTATTTAAACATTTATTTTGCCTAAAGTTCATGAACATATTTGGTTATTTTACTTTCTGTCAGTTTATTAAGGACAAATGAAGGCCGTATTTAGTAAGACAGAAATTCAATCATGAAAAATACACATATTAAGATTAAGAAGATATAAAAAAAACAGGTGTGAATTGAAATTGCAATTTAATTAGACGTGCTTTCTTTTTGGGTAAGATAACATATGACAAATCTGAAAATGAATACAAATATGTATCTGGTCTTACTGACGAATATCTGTTGACTATTTTATGATTTAAGGAAAGATGATTTTGTTGGGGAAAAACTTATACACATTTTTTTTTATCAAAATATGAATTAATGATCAACCAGCGAACCAGCGTAATGTTACAGTTTCAAGTTTATTTGAGAAAAGTATAGTGGATTAAATATCAAATAAGAAATAACATAACCAACTTATAAGTAATTACTGTTAAAAGTATTATCATTGTAGTTAAGTCATTTTTTTTTGCATTTTGTTTAATAGAAAAGTACCTGTACTGTAAGTATACATTCATGTTACGTTCATAAGATAATATTTCAAACCTATCAATTCATTAAAATCATAGAATTTACTTAAAAATCTCCAATTCCAAATACAACTTCTGTATTTTTATATAACTTTCTCGGATAAGTGAGTTTAAGATATTGTGAAGTCGTACTAAATAGATAACAAAAAGTAAACCTCTTCCCAATAAAACACTTTTTAATATTGAAATGGTTAATCTAGAGGGATATGTAAACGAAGATGTGGTATGAGTGTCAATGAGACAACTTTCCATACAAGTCACAAGGTATAAAAAGTTTACAATTATAAGTCAAAGTACGGCCTTCAGGGCGGAGCCTTGGCTAACACCGAACAGCAAGCTATACAGGAACCTAAAAAACTAGTGTAAAACAATTCAAACAGGAAAACCAACGGTCTAATCTATAAAAAAAAAACGAGAAACGAAAAACACGTATGAACCACACAAACGAACGACAACCACTGAAAAACAGGAGCCTGACTGTATATATTATCTGCTCGCAAAGTTGGTTTCCACATGAATATTTAGCATCATTGAGATGCAATGGCTACAAATCATCGTTTTTATTTGTCTTTTGATTTGCATTTCACAAGTTAGTATAGGCCACCTTGACACATCCTGTCTTTTTCTTCGATACTTTAAGCCAAGAAACCAGGATTTTGTTTTTGTAATATAAAAATTATAATTCGTGTTATTGAATCTGATACAAAAAAGTCATATAACAAGTAGAAAGATATAACTATGTATAAACAGAACATACTTCATTGATGTTGAGGTTTTAGAACTGTTAATACGGTTACGTTCTGATTAATTTTGTTGAAGCTATAACACTTGTGTACAAACATTCTGGTTCGTATTGATATGTTTTGTCTTTCTAAACTAATATTTTTGTTTTTGTTTTTTTTTGTTTTTTCTAAGACATTGTTATATAGCAGATATACACGATGGTTAACCAGTTTATGTTACAGAAAACGTTATTTGGTACAGACATGTTTAGAATTTTGATTTTGATTTTGGAAGATGCGATTACACCATATTTTGTATTATTGTTGACTAGAATATACGTTTATTTTTATTTTCTTGGAAATGTACTACCAACGTTAATAAACAGCGTACATTACAGTCAAACCTGGGTAAACAGGACCCTAAATAAATTGATTTAATGTCTATTCTGACCAAAAATTGAAGTAACCTGTTTTTTCCTTTCTTAGTCTTTGTAAAAATACCCTCTGTAAACCGGATTCTGTGTATTCCGAATTTCGGTCTAATTATGCAGTCTCAATACTCTTAAATACGTTCATCAATGGCAGGACCGCTTTATTTAATGTATTGAACATGATAACAGTATTGATCGATATGCAATCACAACATAATTGTTTATACAAGATGGTTTTTGGGGATAATCAATATGCAATGTGTTAAACCTTGAATTTACAGTAGTGAGCTCTTTATGAAGAAACACATTTACGTTTTGATTAAAATAAACTAAAAGAAACGCCAACTGTATCTTTGATAGAACTTACGTTGTAACATTGGTACATTTCTCAAATGGCGGGGTAAGAAATTTACATTGAATTTTCGAAATGCTGGGTTCCCTGTTTTGAAACCTGAAACCGATGACCGTAATAATAAAGAAGACCAGAATGACGATTTTGCATTGTCGAATTTATATGTATGTTTCATTGTTAAGATTATAATGAAATTTCGTTTGATAAAATTCTTGCTTTTTAATCGGCTTTACCAACGTAGAAAATCTCGTTCTTCAATTAAAACAAAGCAATATTCTGATGCAAATGAAAACAATGAATTTCAAAGTGAAACAAAAACTGACGAGATGAAGACTGATGCTACCAAACTATGGCGATTTGACTAAAGAGAATATGTAAAAAAAAAAAAATTTTAAATGTTATTTTTCTTGTGATTCGATGGACACACAACTTCTGAAATTTCTAAAGCAAACGAATACAGTGACTCAGAACACAATCTAAATGTGCATGTTACACTATTTTCTTCACACAAATCATACCTTTTGAGAAATACATTATTACTGTATTTATTTTTTTTATTAATTTGCAATTAACAACGAGACCGGAAATTTTCATGTAAAATATCTGACGTCACAAGTAAATAACTTCCTGTCGATATGAAAACCTGAATAAACAAACCCACTCTCTAAACTGGCCTTTTTTCATAGTGCCACATCCGTTTGATTAATACACGTTATACTGTATTTGGCTTATGAACGTTTTCAGCTGAAGTAACAAAGGGAGTGTCAATAGGAAAGCCTTTCTTTGCCATGCTCACCTAGGTTTTTGTTGGTGTTCATTTTTCTCAAAAAGCAGTTTTCTGTTTGACATTGACTTTCGTTTTTTTGTACGTGATTTTTAGTGGCTATCATTCCTATACTTATTTGTTTATTCTTCTTCATATCTTCTCTTCTTTAATAATATATATTGACAGTTGTCGTCTCTTTCAAGTTAACGCTACTTTCTATTGAATTTATATATTGAACATGAAATTTCTTTCCATACCAAACTAACTATATATCACATTAAACATGATTGTTATATTTTATGTTATGTTTAAGTAAATACTACTAAAAAGATGTTCTTATCGTGATTAACAGAGTGACATTGTGACATTCTCTATGATGTTAACCTGTCAGCTGTGCTGCTCTTGATACCGTTATAATGTAACTCTAATTCATGTTTCCTCGACAAATGTAAAACGCAATATTATGTAAAACGACATGTTGTTCAACTTAGGTGACACCAGAATAAAATGATATATGTAGTTCAGTGTTTTACAATCCACACAGCTGATGTTAATACCTTTTCTGTGTATAACCGTATTCTAATTGGCTGTCTCATTCACGTGAATACTGTATTGCTTTATTGTCAGGCACATTTCGAACTTTGCACTTTTAAGTGTTACCAGTATATTTTTGCATCTATTTGTGTATAACTTTATAGATTTATACCAAACCGAACATTATTTACTCTTAATTCAAATCAATATCAACATTTTATCACTTGTAAATATTTTACAGTACATGTACTTGTACTAGTATAGCTATAACAAACTGATATTTTTCATTATACATGATGTGTTTTCTATTTCAGTGATTATATTGGGTAAGTATCGCAATCCTTTAAACTCTTTAAATTATTTAACGTTCAATGCATTTCAAACACATATATTCTAACACCAAAATATTTTCCATTCGTACTTAGTAATTACTAGTAGGGGATTTTATCAGGTGTCAAATGAAAACCCACACTTTAAAATCATTGAATATAGCACACTAACAGAGACATGTTATAGCAATATGTATTTGTTGTATTCATTTCATAATTATCTAAATGCCCATTCAAGAAAGGTGTATATGTTGCACTTTGTATAGACAGCTATTTCACAAACCACACCTCTTTGGGGGAAATATATATTATTCATAGAAATTTTGTTTTGTTTACGTTCTGGTTCCCAGATATGATCTCTATGTTTCACCTAATTGAGACATAACTTAGGAATGTTACCAGTATAAATAAACATGAATAGCGATCGTCTTGTATTCGGAGGAAGACCCAAAGTGAAGGGAGGGTTAGTACAGAATTTTAGTATATGTTTAAAATCTTATAAATTCGGGGCATATACAGGGTGAAAATATGCTGCACAGCCCTATATTATGACCTTTGAAAAAATCAGTAGTGCATGTGAGCTTTCCATTCTTTGATATATTTTTTTACGAAACGTCTTAGTAAAAATGGTACAGTTTTAGCCGAAAAAAGTAGTTTCTATGGGAAATTGCATTATTTTTGTATTTTCTATTTTTACAGAAATGCAATCTATGTGTTGTGAAAAAAGAGAACATGTAGAAATTCCACTATATCATTTATATCTGGTTTATCTTCACAGTCTTAATGAAATCAACTCAAATATAAAGTTTTATAAATATTTCATGAAGATTGAGAAATCCTTGGCCTTTACTATGATGACTCAGCATAAATTCATAGTTTACAATATGCATAGTTTACATAAAGCCCTTTATGCAAAGCAAATTCATTATATATGCTCATTTGTAATTCAAATTGTAAAACAATATTTACTCTTCACAGTCATTGAAACTCATAGATTCTTGATAAAGCTAACAATAGTTTGCTCTATCCTAAAAATATATTAAATGTTCCATATTCTCAGAAAAGCAGTTTTATATTGCAAAATAACCCCCCCGGTTATGAAACGGATAATTTAGCCTGTAATAGAAAACAATAAATGTACTATGAATTTATGCAAAAACCAGATTCAAGTAGTCAGTTCTATTAAACATTTGGTGAATTAATATATCAGACTGGTATCTTCATACATACAATTTATGCAAATATGACTTTGTTTAAACGCTTATTGCCTCTTATTAACCAAATTATGTTAGAAACAAAGTAAGAGATAATATTTGTGTGAAAAGAACTCTCCGTTGACCATTTCAGGCATAAATTGTGAACTTTTAAAGATAAATAGGCATACAGTAAGATGTGGACTGGAGACAGAGGCAGGATTGTATTCTTCATATAATCTTGAATGCTGTAATAATTAACTACTAAATTTTTCATTTATAGTATTCTGAAATGCTTTCAATATGTTATCAAATAGTTTCATACATGTTCTAGGCATTTCATGTCAGAAAACATGTACATAGGGTAAGCTGGTATTAATTTAAGTCTTGTTTTTAAATTCTTATTAAATTGAAACAGGAGTGGGGGTAAAAATATACTGTAAAAGAAAATGAAGGATAGAGCATTTGCAGTGATTTCTTTTATTCTATGATTCTGTTAAATAACAATTGTTGTGAAAAAAACATGTTTGTTTGTTTGCGTTCTGGTTCCCAGATATAATCTCTATGTTTCGGCATAAAGACATAACTTTGGAATGTTACCGTGATGAATAACATTAATAGTGGCCGCCTTGAAATCTGAAGAAGATGCAAAGTGAAGGGAGGGGTAGTACAGAATTTTAGTATAAGTTTAAAATCTTAGATTTTCGGGGCGTATAAATGTTGGAAATATGCTGCACATCCCATTTTTTTTACCTTTAAAGAAAATAGATGTGTATATGAGCTTTCCATTCTAGGATATATTTTCAACGAAACTTCATAGTAAAAGAGGTACAGTTTTAGCCGTAACAGGAGTTCTTTTGGGAAATTGCATTGTCTATATTTACAGAAATGCAACCTATAGACATATCTGGAGGAAGAAAAAATGACACATTTTATTGAATTAATGAAATAGTAGTGCATACATAAATGCTACCGATTTATAATTTTCTATAATTTTCTATGCAAAGAATTGTACCTCGCCATTGTTTCATACATGTAACAGTGAATTTGTAAAATCATTGATTTTGTAAAATCCCTGGAATGTTTAGTGATTTTGCAAAATCACTTTTAATGTCAGTGATTTTTTTAATATACCTGAAATTGCTAGTGATTTTATAAAATCACTGGACATATTTCTAGGGTTTTTGTAAAATCCCTGATTACAGGTTTAAACTTAATATATGTATAACAGTTTTTTTTTCTTAATATCACTAACAATAGTGAGAAGAGGGCGTCTAACGACCGTCGGTAAACACCTCTTAACTATCAAACATTTTCCGAAACCTAGACCCATATGAGCAAGATCAACTTTATATTGATATTTATATACGTTGATGAACAGACCAATGCTTTAAAAATATATTTTTTTATAATAAACACTTCTAGGTAAAACTATTCTACAGGAATAAAGAAGAAAAGGCATATGACTTGATATTATTACTACAGTTTACTTATTTTGCATGATAAGTTTGAGTGACATCTACTGTGTTTTACGATTTTTGTTTTCACAGTCTCCACTTTGAAGAACTTCGAACCTACATTAAACAAATATTTACCTTTAATTTGATTTAAATCTAAAGAGTGGAAGAAGTGTAGAAACTTGTTTAAAGTTTTATCACTTTGCAAGTACAAAACAAAGTTCATGTGTTTGTTCATTTTTATTACTATTAGATTGTTGTATGTGGATCCAGTTTTATAAAACTAAATAAATACATTTAAAAATAATAATAATGCATTTGAATATTCGCATAAAACAAAATGATTGGTTATTGTTATGTAAATTCCAAAGTTAAATTGTATATATGTCGAGAAGGTTTGATACGTTTTTTTGTGATCTGATGGTCAGTAATAATGTCTTAAAGGAAACTCCAATCAATACAATACGTATTTTTTATCGCATCGATCTTTCAGCTATACAATATGAATGCGTATAATCATATAGAAAAACAATAATTGTTTTTAAGTATCTTGATCAATTTCGAGTCTGAAGTTTATTGAACGGGGGAGAGCACTCATCCAAAATGATTATTGAATAAAATGATTCACTAAGTGTGAAATAGATCACAACTCATGGTTTAGATCGACGTAAGTAAGTGATTTTTGTAATAACTACAATGAATATAGAAATAGTTTGTTTATTTAATCATTTTGGTAATTGAAAGTTCATTCTATGCTGAACGAAAATATTATATTCCAGCTCATCCCTTTCGAAATTATATTCAAAATGTCATATTGTTACACATACATTAATTGAACAATCAACATTTCGTATAACATTGAAGTAAATATACTAAGAATCTCAAATACGGAAGATTAATTAACGTAACTTTTATTACGTATTAAAAAGTTGCTGCATGGTAAAAGTGGGTCATGATGTACGGATTAAAACGCGTGAATATAGTGTGTGTGTGTGTGTGTATTATAGGAAATACTGAAAGAGGAATTATGGTGATTTTGTCTCGCCTCGATTAATTCGAAAAAGCGAGACAAAGGCGTGCTGTTCCCAGACCTGGTGGAAACATCATCAATATGCTAGTTTTTATTAGGAGAGTTCTAAGGAAAGTACTTGTGATAGGTCAATGATATTTGTTATGTTGTTGAACTAGCATTAGCAAATATCAATTCCCAGAACACAATTGGTCCTAGCCTTCTCGGCTATGGTATATTGAAGTTAAAACTTAGTTTATATGTGTATGTTGTTATGTCAGTTCAATAGGAACCACTAGTGAAATGTCCTAGCATGAGGATGTGTAAACGTTGGCTTATCTTATTTCAATGACAATTACTTGGTCCCTCAACCTCATTTATGATGCATTGCATGTGAATCTTATGCATAATTTACATGTTAAAGTTTATGATTAGGTCAGTAAAAGATCTTCACTATATTGAGTCAATATCAGTGACAAGTCCCATGTCAATGGAAATGTTATGTCCCGCTCATCTTTATGGTTCATTGACTTTGAAATTTTTGCATATTTTACATATCTTAATTTGTGTTTCGGTTAATTTAAAATGAACCGATTAAGTCAATGGTATTTAATATTCAGTGTTGTCAACATGTGTAGTTTTTATTTCGGTTGAGGTAATTTGACACTGCACCTTCAGTCATGGTTCATTGACTTTGAATGCATAGTTTTACATGTTAACATTTTGCCATTTCAATTGCAACATTTGCATTATATTACCAACATTCCATTTGAGTTCGAGTTTGTTTTATATTTTTTTTTAACATAAAGACGAGACGTATCTTGGATAACTGTTTTTATTTATCCTTTTTTATGGAGAAGTGTTGATGAAATATTTGAAGTAAAAAAGAAAATTATACTTAAATGCTATATTTAAATGGAAGCCAATGTTATCTGTTATATTGTGTTTTATTTACGATGAAATTCAGCGCATGCATATGTCGTTATTATCTTATGTATTTGATAAAGAAGCTTTTAGTTTTTGGTCACAATGTATATGGTGCTTTTGGTGCCTTTTAAGATTTTACGCTAACCAATACATATGGTTTACGCTTCCATTTATTGAAGAAGATTGTATGTTGATGTTTAACATAATTTTTGTGTGATAATTATACTCAAACTCTTGAAAAATACATTCTTTATTCATGTCTGAATCATTGAAATACAAATATTCTCTTACTGCATTTTCTGTTCAGAAAATAAATGAAAATCTTCAAATAAAACGTTCCATTTCTTACTAGATGACCACGTGCAAATCAGCAATATTTTAGGCCAATTTTTTTCAAAACTGGACAGGTACATTAGAGATCCTTGATTTAACATACAAACTCAAACGTTTTAATCATTCAAACAACTAATTTGAAACAGTTTATTTTTTTAAACAAAATCATTTCTAAACAGTAAAATCATAAGCCGTGCTCACAGTACCACATATATAAAGGCATACATATACAATAGTTATCAAAGGTACCAGGCTTATAATTTGTATACGCCTAACGCGCGTTTCGTCTACATAAGACTCATCAGTGACGCTCAGATCAAAATAGTTGAAAAGAACATGTTATTCGAAAAACAATATATTTCAAAGAATAGAATGTAAGTTTATTCCATCACAATCCTGATCATGTTTAAGTTGTATCTTCCAGGGATATTATCCTGTATGAAAAAGGAAACTTGTTGTAAGTTTTACTTTGTAGAACTATCAACATTTACGATGTATTTTCTATACAATATAGCAAAGACTAATATTAAACAGATGACATACACAAAGTCAAAGTCAAAGTCAGCATTAGTTTGCCATTTATTTCAATTGAACAGTGAATTCTTAATTCCGACAATTATCGAAATCTGACCATATTACCAATACACTTTGGTATGGTCATGACATTATAGACAAAATTTAACAACACAATCTTGAAAATGAAACAGAAACACTCTGATTTGATTTCGGAGAATTGGAAACGCTGATCATGATTAAATACATGATCGTTTTACTTTAGTGCTGACCTCTTGTTTGATATTATGAAAACTAATCGTCTTTAGGCATTATAAATGCAATTTCAATGTGTAGTGTAAATCATTCTGCAATAGAAGTTACAGTAATTACTTTTATTATTTATCTATATTGTTTTCTGTGATGCCTGTCAAAATAGAAAATTATATCTATACAAAGAAACATGTATGAAACTGACAAATTTCAGACACACATTTTGATAATTAATCAGCATAACAACAATCATTATTTTTTTAACAAATTTTCATTTCAGTAGAATAAATGAAAAACAAAGTGATGTACACAAAAGCTGATGAATTGAAAGGATTGTATGATGACAATCTGATTAAAAACCATAAATTATATTTTCCCTAATCATGCTAATTATTTCAATGATAAATTATAGTTCTAATTGATTTCAACATCTCATGTGCATTCCCATGCAAGTTTAATAAAGTCAGGACCGTCATTAGTATGACTGAATGCACAGTGCCATGTATGCCATATTTTCAACTAGTTTCTTTCTTTTTGTGTGTAATACGTTATCTAATGAAAGAGGCATCTATGGAATTAGGGTTTCATGTACAACCCGAGAGATCTGAAGATTCATTCTCAAAATATACTTATTAGCAATGGCAAGTCTTTGCTTACAACATGAAATTTGAATCATGACATGTACCACATTTTTAGTTCATTTATATGTTTTGGAATTTAGTATGGCGTCCATTTTCACTGAACTAGTACACATTTTTTTTAGGGGGGCAGCTGGGGCCCGCTTCCGGTTGGGGGATTTTCTCGCTGCGTTGAAGACCGATTGGTGGCCTTCGGCTGTTTTCTGCTCTTTGGTCGGGTTGTTGTCTCTTTGGCATATTCCCCATTTCCATTCTTAACGTTACCATAGTTGTTTTAGAGGGAGGTGCGGTCAGGGTGATCGGTCTTTTTTAAAGTTCATCTCATTACGTTGCCGTATTGATGGGCACCCTTTTGAAAAATATTGGACTCGTTTCTATGCATCGATATAATTTTAGTCAATGTTAAATACTGATATATTCAGTAAAAAAATTATGATGTGAATGAGATATTTATACATTTAAGTAATGCTTTATTTTAGAGACTGTGAAGTCTGTGGGTAAGTTTATTTTATGTTTGTGTCTTTTTACCTTTTGTTTTATTGATCTTTGTTTTTGTTTAAATTTCCTTTTCTTTTGCAATCTTTGTTTGCTGTTCAACCCATTTTTATTTGTACGGAATATCTTACAATAGTGTTACTGTACAATGTAATGATTTGCGTATATTTCAATTAAATCACAGTTGTTTTGTTTTATTAACTGTCTTGATCATCGCGGTGTCGAAGTACAACCATGGCTTGCAATCCATCATATCTTTGTTATTCACCGAGACAAGTTCGAATCTGGGGATGATGATCACGTATGGTTTAAGAAAATAGTTTACTTTACCTTTAATTTGCATTAACTGATTTTTCCTTTAAGAAACGAACACAGTCATCACAGAGACAGCTAATTATTGTCAATAATATTTGACACAAAAAAAAAACCACACATCTTTGTAATGATTTTTATGATTTTCAATCTTTAACAACATTATCAATGTTTAGTTCACTTTAACTCTTTTTTTATATTCTTCACCTTAGTACTTAAGAATTAAGTGTAACATTTCTTACAGGAGTAGAATATGGTTCGATTACAAAGAGGAGGAGCTACTGAAATAAGATGTAATTTATTTCAACGATAACATTTTAAAGTTTTTGTTTTAGCTAGAAAACAGTGGAATACTAAAAAAAGACAACTCTGATTTCAAAACACTTGAGTTAACTTTTCGGGAAATATCTACACTCGATCATTTTGATTAACAGTACACTTTGAAGTCTTTTTAAAGTCAGAATGTTCTTATGTAGTGCATTTATTATTTTCAAAACCTTCATTTGTTGTAAGATGTCCCTAGAGGTTAGATCTTTTTCGAAGAATACATTAAGCTTATTTCAACATGTTATATTGTGAATAAACATATACAATCTGGTGGTTTTTTTTTTGATCAATTAAAGTAATTTCGCCGACTTTATCTTTACTCATTCATTGTGGCTAAAAAAAAAAAAAACTTGTCGATCGGCCCCACCTTTCTACAAAAGTTTGAACATTTTTTTTTCTTCAAATGTTGATAAAGTTTACAATGTCTTTTTTAGACAATATACATGTTATAGCTATAGTATACTCATTTCAGATTCAATCAACAGTTGATATTAAATCATCGGCTGGACAGTACATACTACATACACATTTGTTTGATATATGTATATATGATTTATATACAATACCTCATCAAAACAGGTTATCGTTCATATCGCTAATAAAGTACGGACGATTGCATACTATTGTGTCCATTAAAGAGAGAACATGAGTTCATATGAATTGTTGTTGTTCTGTCATGAGTTTTATGACTGATTTGTTTTTTTCATATATGTTTTTCCTTCCGTTTACTCTTCTTTTGAGTTTAACTTCAATGGCTTCTTTATATCCTGCTTTTGTAATTTTTATAAGAATTTTGGTATACATCAAACAGAAACCTTGTCTGCAAACTTTAAGTTATTTGTGTAACGTGCACATGGTTCTCTAAATTGGGATTCCGTTTTTATTTTCTTCCCATATATATATCACAAAAACGTATAACATCACACGAAGCTGTAAATTCAAGACATCCGAATAAACACAAATACAATATTGTGTTTACCTAATTTTTTTTTCTTCAATTATATCAATTTATATGTGAAAAATCATCTAGTACTTGCACAGTGTCAATTTGAGTCGTTTGTCATTATAACCCAATCAGAACAGATTTTTTGGGTCATTAGAACAACCCTGGAACTAAAGTCTAAAATACTGTGCACACACCTCCACGTACTAATATCAAATAAGACATCCATATACCATTCGAATGGACAGAGTTGCTATGTTTATGCTTAGAAATGGGAAGCCGTTAAAGTTAATTGTATGCCGGTTTTACCTTAGTTTCTGTTTCTTCCTTTAATCTGTCATTTCCTAATTGATTTTCGAGATTAGAACATCGGTAAACGACCGTCGCCCTAACTGAACCCTCTGAATTTTAAAGAACATTTCATTAACCACCTAGTAAATGATCTGTTGGTGGTCTGTTTAGAAATAAATTGCTATACATTGAAGAAAAAAGTAACATACTTCTTCAGAATATGTAGTGAATGCACACCGTTCACATAAAGGCACTAATACATATATGATTGAATTCTCTTTAAAAATTCTGCAGTGTGTCTGCTAAATGTTATCCTACATTAGCATGGTAGTAAGATAACGGTATAATAGCGCATCGTTTTGATTGATATGCGTATGGCCATGGAGGGTCTGTCTCGAACGTCCCATTACTAACATATGTGTCAAATCAATTTTTTATTTTGCCAAAATCCACATGGATCTTTTTTGTGCACGTTACAAGACTTCTTGTTTTCATTTCTAAAGGAGAAGCGTTTAGATATCCACCATTTTGTGAGTTGGTTTAATGAACATATATTATGATGATATAATATGTTTTTATCAATGCAGATATAATTGATTTCTGAAACTGTTTGCTAAAGAATCGAACTAAAATCCGTTATTATTGGTCATAACTCCAGTAATTGATACTATGGTATGTTATTGTTCACACATCGTTGTCAATGTAATGGAATTGTATGCGACTGTCATACAAGTGAGAGGTTTAGCTAGCTATAAAACTAATCCAGGTTTAATCCATCATTTTCTATATAAGAAAATGCATGTACCAAGTGAGGAATATGACAGTTGCTATCAATTCGTGTGATGTGTTTGAGCTTGTGATTTTGCCATTTGATTAGGCACTTCCCGTTGAAAATTATCCTCTGTGTTCAATATTTTTGTTATTTTATTTTCTATCAAAAGATAATGACAAAACCAATAACGAATTGTGCAGTTAGGATGCTAATTTGGCAATTTTGCATATCTATATTTCGAATGGTTATCAGGCCCATATAGTCTTACAATCATTGTATGCTTCAGATTGTATCGAAATGAGGGTCGTAAACTCTCAGTTGTTCGTATTAATGTTTGAAAATATGTTAGTTAAACATAGATTCATGATGATTCTTGTCAATGTCAGTCAGTATTTTATGTAATAGAGCATTAATCATTCAGATGGCAATTCGTAACTTTATATTGTATTTTAATCTTATAAGGCAAATACATTAAAAGCGTGTTGAAAGTTTAATGATCTTAAAAGTGATATGAACTTTTTCATTTTACTGCTTTTTATATCTAATAGGGAACTTTATATGCTGACCATGTTTGTCCTCGTATCATAAAGCACTAAATAAAAAAGATCAATGATTACAGTGTTCAAGTCAACCAGCATCGATGTTAGAACACTTAATTGAATATCATATTAATTTATGATATCATTTTTCTTATGATATATATTTGTTCAGTGAATTGAAAATGCCGATCATATTACATACTAAGTCACCTGAATGAACAACACGACGGGTGCCACACTTCAGGTGTCTGAGACCTTTACGCTGTTAATATTTTTCGAGTTGCTCGTTCTTAGGTTTTATATTAAGTGTAGAAGAATGATTAATTGTTCGTCTTTCTTGTCTTTTTTCCACGATTTTGTCAGTTTCTCTTCGACAAATGTTCATTGGCTCATGGGTACTTCCGAAACTGTCTATTTATATTTTTCTAGACTGTTAGTTATATTAGGAATGTTTTTTTTTTATTTTATGTGTTTCTATATTCATCATATAAAGCTCTTATGTCGAAGTTAAGAAGTTAAGGAATAAGTTAACATTATAGTTGGTTACACTTTTTTTTTAATGCAAATACCTAAAAATGAACACATCATGTTCCATTTAAAAAAATACGTTATCCTGATACTTTGTTTCATGTATATAAGGGGTAAAATAAGTTACACAAAGTTCGGCGGTCGAAGATGGACAACATTGATTTGTACAAATAATTGCAATATTATAAAGTAAAATCACAAAATTACCGAACGCCGAGGAAAATTCAAAACGGAAAGTCCCTAATCAAAAGGCAAAACCAAAAGCTCAAACAAATCAAACGAATGGATAACAACTGTCATATTCCTGACTTGGTACAGGCATTTTCTTATATAGAAAGTGGTGGATTAAACCTGGTGTTATAGCTAGCCAAGCCTCTCACTTGTAAAATTCCATTACATTGACATGTGTGAACAAAACAAACAGACATTACAGATAAAAATGTCAAAAATTTGGGTACAGCATTCAACATTGTGTTTCAATCTTTATCACTATTATAATAAAAACAAACAAATATGTAACAAAGAAATACAAAAAGACATAGTGATTAAGCACATTATCAAAAATGAAAAACAATGACGGGATGTATAAGTACAGAGCCACGTCAACTGGATATAACCAAAAAAGACTAAACAGTAAACGTAATATTCATAAAGACATATAAAAAAACACTATTATACAATATTTGAATTTTGATTAGGTTGGAACAATGATTTATCAACCCCAAATATATGTTATTCACCGAGGCCAACGGCCGAGGGTGAATGTCATATATCTGGCGTTGATTGATCACTGTATTAACTGATATCAAAAGTCAACAATTGTTTTAGTATATGACTTTTTATCCCTCTTCATTTTTCTAGTATTTGCTCGATACTTTTAAAACTGCTCCCTGTTTTTATATTTAATATATGATGTGCTTTAGCAGTTGTTCATTTTCATAAGTTGAAATACTCAATAAAGTTTACGAAAAACAAATACACCAAAAAACAAAAAGAAAAGAAAAAGTACAAGAAGAAAACCAAATGGGAATTTACTTGACGTCATAAACCTACGTCGTTGACGTTGCCTTGAAATATCTATATTTAGGTACACGGACGCTGTTTCAAATCTTATATTTACTTCTTGTGATGTTTGCCGCTGTGAATATATAACGTTTTATTAAATAGGAATTCCTATGCTTTTAGCCAATGAGATAACAGAAAATGTATAGTCATATGATAAAACAGGATATTCAAGACCATCGTGTATTATTTGTGAAGTTGTGAACATTTATCAACAAGGTCTTGGTACCTTCCAATGAACTTTTTTAGAAAAAGGACGAGACGTTCTTTGAAATACCCGTGGCTCATCAACTGTCTACTTTTACAAAGTCTGAGTTGCAGCTGTAAACTCTTTCTGTTGAATGAAAACAAGTAATGTAGTAACTCAGATAGTTCAAGAACAAAGGTGAACAGGAAAAACGTGCACGAAATTTAAATCATAAAGAATTAAAATTCCAGCATCCTTGAGCAAAGTCAAGTTGAGATAAACTTGGCTATTCTGTTTTCTATATCCGCTTCGGCCATAATGTTCTAGTATATCTAAGTATTTATACATTTCCAGACTCTCAAATCTTTCGTTTTGGCGTTCCTGGTGAATTTGGGTCAGACAAAGCGCTTAAAATAAACATAATATGTTAAGAACTTATTTCATTTGAAACATTACATGTATTGATGACGTAGTTATTGGCCCATTATATATAAATAAGAGTCTCCAACAGTTTTCTAGTGTTCAAAATCTCGCAAATCCGTTTTTACAATTCAACACAGATGGAATTTCATGATTTTCGGGTTGAACATATCGTGTAGGTGTAGCATTCCGTGCTGTACATGATTTTTCCGTCATGCAACACAAGACAAGGTTGAAATGATGTGATAAGGAGTGGAAAGAAATAGCTACATGAAATTAACAGACAACTATAACATGTATAATGAAATTTGTTTCTACCGGAAAAATCTCAATTCAATCATTCTGTGTGCTACATTCTGCCAACAAAAACTAATTTACATTTTCATTTATTATAGTTATTTGAACTTGGTAAAATATACTTCTCAGTGAAAAGTAATAATCATTGAAATATATGATAGTGTGCAAAATTTACGAACATGTCAGGTTTAAAGTTAAGTTCTTACTTCCTTTCAAACACTTAAAATTATTT